TACCGATGAGGAAGTCGGATGTGCTGTGTTTTTCCAGGAAGGTGTGCAAATGGTACCAGAGCTTGGGCACCCAGTCCAGCACCCGCAGCAGCTCCTCCTTGTTGGCGTTGATGTCCGTGTCCGACTCCAGCAGCTTCCGCCGCAGGTAGCGCACCAGGAAGCCGTTGGCCGGCTCCACGTTGTTGGAGAAGGTCAGCATCCTGGGGGAGGACTCCAGTGGTCAGGGCTGGGTCTCCACACAAGCTGCCCTGCTCCCCAGCACTCCCGAGGCCCTCCTTGCATCCCCACCCTGCATTTGCCTGAGGCTGGGGAATTTCAGGTCCTTCTGGGATGGCAGGGACAGGCCTGGGGGCTCAATCTTAATCAGGGTCCCCAGCCATAGAATGTGACCACAGAAACACCCAGGTGGAAGTGATGGCTTCTGTCCCCCACAAGGATGATCCCCAGGGATGTACAATTCCTACCGGAAGCTGAGATGGAGGCCATGGTTTGGGGTCATCTTCACAGGCTGGTTGGTAGTGCCAATGATATACGGACTGAGTGAGTGACAGAGAGACAAGATTAATGAGAAAAACCTCTGAGTCACCCCTGCCCAAGGCAGAGCTGATCTGGGCACAGCAGACATGTGCAGCCTCATCCCCACAGCCCAGTGGCCATGGTGAGAGCAGCAGGGAGCATGTGTGTGCCATGGGGCTGCACTGGAGGGGGGCAGAGGGGCTCTCACCATTTGTGGTACTTGCAGGTGAGGGCCCCGTTGACGAGCTCGCTGATGGAGCCCGCCTCGCTGAGGTCGTCCAGCAGGATCACCAGCGGCACGTCCGCCGTGCCCGTCTCGCGGTCGATCTGGTTGGCCAGGTTGGACAGGTACAGCTGAAGATCCTGGAACAAACAGGTCGGGTGTCACGTGTGGGGCCATGGCATGACTGCCATGGGGACCATGGCACCAGTGCCCACAGGGACACTGCTGTGTGCCCTCACCTTGCAGGACTGCTGGTGCATGTTGAAGGTGCTGACGATGCCCTCGGTGACGTCCCGACCCGAGCGCTCCACCAGGTACTCGGCCAGGCGGTTGGTCAGGTAGGTCTTGCCGGTGCCACTGGGCCCCGAGAGGATGAGGCGGCGGTGCTTCAGCAGGAGGCTGATGTAGTGCTGCATCATGGGCTTGGGGATGAGTGTTTCAAATACCAGGCTGTCCACGCACTTCTCTTTCAAGCCTGTGGACAGGGGAGGGCTGAGGGTCCACTCCCACCCTCTAGCAGCCCCAAACAGCAGGGACATGGCACAGCCACGGAGCCCCTCTGCCACACTGACCTTTGAGCGTGACGA